CATCTGCGAAGGTTTTTATCTGGACGCTTCCCCAGAGGCCCATGCGGTAGAGGTTGGTCCCCAGCCAGTGGAGCTACTGGGAGGTGGTGGAACTTAATAACTGGGGAGAAGGGGACCTCTGGGTCTTCTGACGCATGCCCCAAAGGCATTGAGAGAGGACAGAGGTTATGTCGCACCAAATGCTTCTGCCGCTAAGTGCTGCTTTGCCGTAAGCCCAAAGCATAGGGCCAATCAATCACAGATTGAAAACTCCAAATCTGTAGTCAAAATACACCTTTCCTCTCAATAAATTAACTACCTTGGATGTTTGTTACAGCAACAGAAAGCTGATGAACAATGTCTGAGTAAAGGATTCATGAGGACATCAGATATCCGCTCAAAGGGCCATTGATCAACTGAAGAAGGGTGCTCCATTTCTTTCCAAAGCTCATTAACAGATTGAAATTCGGGCACTACTGGCATTATTATGCTTAAGGATTAATTTCCAGGAATGGAACTTTCCTCTAAATGAGTAGGCCTTTTCACAAAATGAATGAGAAAGAAATAACACTTAATTCTGCCTCTCCTCTTCCAGTGACCCATTGGGAAAGAACAAGGAAGTTAGCAAAGAGAGCAGTGAAGAATTAAAAGTTTCCATCCCTCTAAGCAAAGTGCAGCCCCACAAATAAAGGAGGAAGTGTAGTGGTCTCTTCCAGGTGGACTGGAAAAGCCTTTCTGACCTGGTTAGGAGAAACAGTGCAGCCAGTCTCCGCAAAGCACCAGCAACCAGCAAGTATCAGGAGCTGGACAAGAAGCTGGCTGTCTGAGCTCGCAGAGAGATGGTACAATCTATTAGTGCTTAGGAGGCCCACTGGGTCCTGGCCCACCGGGAAATGTCAGACATGCTCTGGAAAGCCTTCTCGGGTAAGAGCAACTCACTAATCATCTGAAAATACATAACTAAAAGCTATCTGTACTTTAATATTTCAAATATATCCTCATTCCAAATTGCTATACTGTCAAACTGCATTAGTCAGCTTTAAATCCAAGGCAATGCCTTCCAGACTCTTTGGACAGCAACTCCCAAAAATATAGAAAATATTTTTATTGCAAATGAACACACAAAATGCAAAAGTTTTATTAAACTTTACTTATCCTCATCACACACGATATACTCTAACAGTATCTATTTCAGTTTGTTTCATTATTTTCAAGTGCTTATCACAACCCCCAGAATTATTTCACAGTCCACCAAAGGGTCAGAATGTGAAGCTTGAAAAATGTGGTTATAAGACTGTAGGTGCCAGCTGCTGCAGCCAGTGGTCTAGTGTCCAGGCTTTTTACAAGCTCATTAAACTCATCATCAAGAAGCAGAGGCTGCTGAGGAGACCCGAGTTTCTTCACCAACACTGTCTGAGGCACTCCTACCATGACTCACCAAATGAACCAACCTGGCCTTTGCAAAACTGAGGTGTGAGCTACACGTTGAGTAAAAATGGCATTCAGAAGAGGGAGGAGGCATGCTGGCACTCAATGCATAGTGTGGCTCTTCTGGGAAATACACAGTCTCCTAGAGTGAGGCAGAATAGATATTTTTTTCTTTTTAATGAGTTTATTGGTACATTTCAGGGATACAGCACAGTTACATTCATTGTTACGATCTTGTACCTCTGCATGACAGGTCTTGATTCTCATTTTTTCCCCTTGTCCCTGCCCTCCCATGCTGGCACTCAATGCATAGTGTGGCTCTTCTGGGAAATACACAGTCTCCTAGAGTGAGGCAGAATAGATATTTTTTTCTTTTTAATGAGTTTATTGGTACATTTCAGGGATACAGCACAGTTACATTCATTGTTACGATCTTGTACCTCTGCATGACAGGTCTTGATTCTCATTTTTTCCCCTTGTCCCTGCCCTCCCTTCACCCCTCCTCCCCTCCCCATTTACAGACATTTTACTTCCATCTTTTCATTTTCTCACATTTTTTTCTTTTCCCTTATTAACAGAATAGATATATTAATAGTAAAGGACCACGCTTGAGGCTTCTGCTGCCAAGCATCACAAGTTGCCCTTCAGTGCTTCCTACCTCTGTGAGATGTACAGGATGACTTCCCTAATCATGTGGCCTTGAGTATCTCAGTAGACATCATTTAGTCATTTGAAAGGATAACTGCAAATTAAATTAGTTCATGCTAATTATGCCAAAATGATAAATTCAAATAAGCAAGGTAATTCGCTTCTAAATTAAAATTTTTTCAATCACTTGGCATCTCAAATCAAAGCAAATGGGTAATGTTACCAATTATATCAATTTGACTCTTAAATTTAAATACATAAACATATGATGAACTGAAATAAAATTCTCATTTGATATGCACTTAACTTATTAACATTTGCACTCAGGTAGGGAATGGCATTCAGGTAGTGAAACAGGGTCATGACCTTGAAAACTAAAGAGGGTTGCTACAAAAGCACCTTCGTTAGGTTCTAGCAACAGAATGAGTCCTCAAAACCCACCAAACAAGCCATCCCCTAGGCAAACTAAGGCAGATCACAGTACTAAAGGCAGCCCTGTGGAAGCTCATGAAGTATTTATCAAGGGAAATACTTGAAAAATAATAAAAATATTCAGTTTTAGGAAGTCAGATGATAACATGCTAAGCTTGAACATGGTTGCAGCTATGATTGCAGGATTCACAGGAAGGAAAGAAATTAACATTTATTGTCCATGTTTTTGCCAGGCTTTGCTAAGTGCTTATAAATACATGGTAGCGCTGGAAATTAGGAATCAAAGATGTTAAATAACTTTCCCCAGGTCACACAATAATAAATGTCAGAACTAAGATTTAAACCCATCTTCTGATTGCACGTAAATTAGTTGTGCTACATTTACATCACCTTATCTTCATCAGTATTCAAAATATTATAGTGCTCAAAGTATTTGTTTAAATCCTCCCTACAATTTCTGATTAAGAATAGGTCAACTCAGATTCCAGTTTCATGGCTAATGAACAATAAAGTGATTTTGTGTTACGTGGGAGGATGTTGTCTCACATTGTTGCCCGACTGGCCTCGAACTTCTGAGCTCGTGATCCTTTTACCTCAGCCTCCCAAGTAGCTGGCACTATAGGTGTGTGCCACTGTGCCTGGCTCAACAAAGTGATATTTCAAAAATAATACACGCAAAAACCAGGCATGCATTCTTGGTAGCATAATAAAGTATATGCATTTTTTAAAGTCTTATACAAGGATAAAAATATTCTAGTTACTACTATGTAAGAAATTTTGCCAAAGCACATAGTGACTTACAGTAATAATTCATTCTTATCTCTCATTATTCTGTGGGTTTACTGGGATTGGCTGTGCAGTTCTAGCTTGGAATCTACCAGAAAATATACTCAAATGTCAGCTGGAGCTAAATGTCAGTTGGGCATTGCCTCAGGCGGGCTCACTCAGATGGCTGAGAGGATTCTGGCTGCCAATCTGGGGACCACCATCAGGGCCCCTTCTCCTCAGGCCCCTACCCCAAAAAAGCACCCCAAGAGCAAATGCTCCCAAAGACCACGGCTTTTTGCAATGTCCATAACCCTAGAAATCCTAGAAACTCACCTCCACAGCTTTCTACTGGTTGAGTTACTACATACATTCAGCCAAGATTCAAGGAGAAATGAGTTAGATTTCATCTTTCTTTTCTCTTCTATTTTTCTTTCTTTCTATCACTCTATCTCTATTTCTCTCTTTCTTTCTTTCTTTCCTCCTTACATTCTTCATTTCTTCCTTCCTTTCTTCCTTCCAGACAGGGTCTCACTATGCAGCTCCTGCTGGCCTCAACCTCAGGTCTTTCTGCCTCAGCCTCCAAGTGCTGGGATTACAGGCATGAACCGTTGTGCCGGGCTCAGACTCCACCTTCTCCGTGATAAACAATATGTGCATAGAAGGCAGAAAGGAGACCTCAGCTTAGTCTCCTGACCTGTCACTTCTACTGCACCCAACTGTGATAATAGAGAACATAGCTAGTGAGATTACAATAAAGTAACTTTTCTTTTGTGTCTTTAGTTCTGTCTATTTCTCCAGGAGCTCAGGATTGCTTGAATGAATGAATAAATGAAAGTCTCTGTCTTTCTCTTTTCCATTCTACTTTTCCTCCTTCTATACTTCTTCTTTTATTCCAAAATAAAAGCCTGGCTAAGAAAAAGTTGTTTTTTTTTTAAAAGCAGCAGCATTTTGTACTGAAATATCACACCGTATCCCACAAATGTGTACTCTTAGTGTCAGTTCTTAAAAGTAGAAAGCTATTCTACTTGGTAAATTAGTAAATCTTATGGTTCGTAAATGTCCACTCACTTCTCCTATCTGACACCTACTGACTGGCTCAGACATCATCTTAAAGAGGAAAGTAACTAGAGAGTTTTCTTTAATCTAGGCAAAGGAAGAGAGGGAGGGAGAGAGAGAGAGAGAGAGAGAGAGAGAGAGAGAGAGAGAGAGGAAAGAAATAGGTTATGGAGGGAAGAAATGCAAAAATTGAAAGAGAAATAAACCAGAAAATTGGAACAGCATTGTGTTCAAGAGACTGAAATAACAAAAGGAAGCCAATTCTCCCTTATCTTTCTTTCCAATTCATTGCCATCATTGCTAGCTAATCCAGTCTTATTTCCTGAGGCCCAAATTATTGCCTTATGGGCTTCCCTATTCTTCCTACCAGCGTCTTTACCCCTTAGAAGCCATCCAAAAAGAGTCTTCCACTACTCAGGAGGATGAGGCAAGATGATCGTAAGTTCAAAACCACTCTGGAGCTGGAGATGGTGGTATATGTAATACCAGCTATTGGGAGGCTGAGGCAGGCAGGTCAATGCAAATTCAAGGCCAATTTGGCTACATAGTGAGTTCAAGACCAGCCGAAACTATAAAGTGAGACCTTGTCTCAAAAAGTTTTCTTCATCATGCTCCCAATTATAAACAAATAAATAACCAACCACTAAGTGGACTTGTCTAACATAAGCACTAAAGGAATTTTCATAATTTTCATAACCTAACAGTTTCTGCTAATCTTTTTCTCACATGATACAGTTGATTCTGTCAGAGCTCTCTAATGTCTGTACCCAAATACAGTGCAAAGAGAAATTACAACAGACCTCACTATTTGATTCATTATGAAATATATGAGGCATGTGCCTCCCCAATGCACATGTTCCAGGATGGCGCGCCCTATGGAAACACTGGCAAAGAAGATCTTAAAAGGAGTTTCAGTAGCTGAACTTATGGGCATTTTTGGAGCATATTTTTTGTTGAATAAGATGAACACAAGACAAGATTTCAGGCAAACAATGAGTAAGAAATTTCTTTTCATCTTAGAAGTTTATTACAAATCCATTGAACAGTCTGGAATTTATGGAACCAGAGAGCAAGATCAAGAAAAAATGGTTGGATAGCAAAAATTAGTACAGTCGCGTTCAGCCTCCCATCTAAGCTGTTTGAGAACTTTAAAAGAAGAAAAATGAGTTCACCGTGCTGTGTGCTGAGCAGCAGGACTGCAGGTCACCTTGGCATGCAGCTCCCACCCACTAGGCAAGCCCACCGCCTGTCTGCTGCTCTTTACTTTTTTTGTCAAAGACTAATATTTTACAAAGAAACACTAAGGAAGGAAAAGGAACAAATGCTCTATGAAGATTTCCTTTCTCTCGAGTACTTTTACTTGTGAAAGAAGACAAACCCGTAACTATTAATGTCAGAAATAATTAAAAATATTTAAGCACGTAAAGTTACCTTTAGCAAGCTTATACTGTATAAAAGTAGCATGCTACCCTATGGAACCTAATTTTTTTAGTATGTAGTATTTTTTGCTATGGTCTAAATCCTTTTCAACCTTGTATTATCCAGAGGGAAGATATGAAGAGCCAACCCTTCCAGATTGTAGAGTGCACTGAAAAGGTCCTCCACAAACATCCCTCTTCCCATTTTAAGTGGAGGCTGTTTTATTCCCCTACCCTTGTGGCACTGGGGATCAAACCCAGAGCCTCACTGCACACCCAGCAGACTCTGCCACTGAACTGCATCCCCAGACTACTGCACAAACCGCAACCGAAAACTCAAGTTACTTACTTGCTTGATCTTTGTTAGCCATGGCATTCACGCCAATGTTATCAAAGTTGGATCCCACGTTTTCATCCAACAGGTGCCCAAACTTAAAAACAAAATATACATATTTATTAGAAATTTTAAAATAACATAGAATGGCTCCCTCCGTAAAGCAGTGTATTAGCCTTACCTCTTCAGCAGATACAGATAGACTGGAGTCATGGAGGTTTTTCTTTCTTGGCCCTAAAAAATATATGTCCTTATTATTCACTTCTAAATCCATTGATTTTGGAAAAATAAACTTTTCAACATGATTTCCTTCAAAAAAATTCTACTTGGGTAAAAATACAGTTACAGTTATCTGCTAGGAGAAATTTTGTAGTGTCAGGCAAGATTAAAATTCTAATGAGGACATACATGGGTTTTGGAATAAAGCAAAACAAATTTAAAAATAAATATATGAAATTTGAACCAAGCAAAACAAAATAAACAATAAAATATTATTTTTACTTAGCAATACATCAGTGTTATAAGATTTAGAATGACTGTACGTAGGGTCCTGATTATTCCTTACAAATAGAGATTTTTTCATTTTTGTCTTCTGTCTTCTGTTCCAGAGGCACCCATCACCAAGAGTTACCCCAACACCTATCTCATCAGGACCCACCAGGAGATCCTCTTCATGGAAACTGATACAGCTGAGTAACTTGGAAGGTAAGAGGGTTAGTGGGATTATTCTGAACTTTAGCCTTGTACTAGTAGTGCTTTTTAACACTACAACTTCTGTAAATTTCTGTGGAGATCACCACCCAAGTTCCACTTCAGTTTTTACTTGGCAGACTTTTTTTTTTTTTTTTTTTTTTTTTTTGGTGCTGGGGATTGAAGTCTGGACCTTGGGCTCGCGAGGCAGGCAGCAGAACCTCTTAGCTAAATCCCCAGCCCACTTGGTAGTCTTCACATGGTATACAGTAGTTGAAAAGAGCACGTATGTTACCCTAACTTGGTACATAATTCAATAAATGGTCAATAATTTGTCACAACTTTAATTTGCAATTATTATAAAAAATAATTAGAGGAAGCACTAAGCATACCATTGCTAAAAAAAAGAATACGATTGCTAATACTGTAGCTCTTTTAGAGGCTGATATTAATGGAATTTTTTAAGCAAAATATTTAAAGGTGATAATTGATTATGTAATCTGGTTACATGATGAAGCAGATTTCATGGTTATGGCAGTTCATCGTCAGGTATGATTAAAGCTATAGTTATCATTTTGAAAGTGCAGACTTCAGTGGGGAGGAAAGAGACTTTTTGAAGCAAAGTACAAATTAGGGATAATTACAGTGATGATCATGGAATGTCCACCTCCATTTCATCACGATCCACTCAGTATCCTTCAAAGTGGCACTGAATCTGGGAAAGCACCAGTATAAGGTTAAAAACAGCTTGGGGAAGAAGACATTTGGGTATTCAAGAGTAGAAAGACTGAAAGTCAGCAAATATGAAAGTAGACCAAAGAGAAAATGTCTTCATCTTCAGGACTTCACTTCAACTTAGTTTTTTAGAAAAACAGCTAGTTTCAAGTCCTCTGTTAAAAGTGCAAGCAGGGGTTTGTATTTTTAAACCTACTTTGGGTTTGAGAGTGGATTGCTATAGTTGTGATATGGTTAGAATGTGACCCCAAGGGTTCATGTGTTGAGGGTGTGGACCTGAGTCTGGGAGGTGGCAGAACTGTTTACAGGTGGGGCCCTTGAGAATTCACAAGATTGGCCCTCACTGTGTCTGGCTTCCTCTTTGGTGAAGGGCTTCTTCTTTTCATATGTGTCCAGGCATTACTATGCCATCACCATCCGGTCTTCATCAGAACTGATCTGGTACCTTAGAACTTCTAGAATGATTGACTAAATAAACTTTTTTTCTTTATAAAATCACCTAGCCTTGGGCCAGGGATGTAGCTCAGTGGTTCCGCCACCTGCTTCACAAGTGCAAGGTCCTGAGTTTGATCCCCAGTACCAAATAAATAAATTAAATAAACCTAGCCTCAGGCATTTCCTTAGAGTACAGAAAACAAACTGATACAAAGATTAGTATAGCAGACAGAATGGAAGCTTTGGGGATGATGTTGGAATTTTATTCCTTGTTGTGGGTGAAGGGTCCATGAATGCTCTCTTCTTTTTGCTTTATACATTTCGCTATGAAGCTGGTATATAAACTATCCATTGATGGTAACCTAACATGCAACTTCCACTGTATATTAGCTGTAATCAGTGCTTTGCTTATACACTATTCCATTATAAGAGACGTCTTCTAGTTTTCCACAAGAAACAAAGAATATATTCTGGTTCTCTGCATCATTTTTAAACAGTCTTTGGTATATAGGTATGCATTTCTCAAGCCAAGAATCAAGCCTTATATTTGGTTTCATTTAAAGTACCGATACAATGCTATAAAACTAGAATATATTCAGGAGTTGATATTCATTTATTCATTTGTCTAATACATATTGACTTTCCTATCAACTGACTGTGGCAATCAGAGCAGTTAGTCAACTACCATGGCCAAATGGCATTTGATGGGTGCTATAAGACATTACTGATTCAGCAGTGCCTTTTAGCTATTAAACTTACTTCAGCTAAGGGGTATTACTGGTTCTCACTCCCTCTTAAGTCTTATGAAGGGATGCTAGAAGAGGATCAGTTAGAAGGTTGAGACTTAAAAATTGAAACAGAAAGAATCAGAGTCAGGAGAGGAAGAGGAAGAAAAAGAATAAGAAATGAGGGGAAAGAAACAACAGGCAAAGCCTCAGTTCTTCATATACTTTGAGTTCCTGTTTTATCACTTGAGCCCTCCTCTTGGCCCCTCCCATCATCCCAAACTAGGGGACTGGAGCCCCACATGGATGCCATGGAGGCAGGTCAAAGCCGTGCAAAGATCCTGGGACAAAAACTTGGCTAAGCTGGTCCAAATGTCTGCAAAACCAAAAGTAGAGCCAGAAGATAAATATAAACCATTTTCAAAGGAATGTCAAAGATGAAAAGCAGGAAAGTCAGAATCAGTCATCAAGTCCAAAGAGTGAGCAGCAGAGCCAGAGGCTGAGGCTAAAGCAAGAAGGGAGTCAGGAGACTCAAGCACTAAATAAGACCAGACACCAAGACTGGTGGTGGGGGACTGATCAAGGTGAAATATAGGGTCTTAGACTATAAGTGTGAACCATTTTATGAAAAGTTATTTGACTACTACACTGCACTTTTTCTTGGGTATCAGTTAATTTAAAAAGCAGGGGATCTGAGTAGGTGCTTTCCCATTTTATTTATTTTTCATGTTTGTTTATTTATTTATTTTTAAATTTATCTTGTGGTACTACGGAAGAAATCCAGGGCCTCCCACACACTGCCAAGTGGCCTGCCACTGAGCTACATCCCCAGTCCATGTTTTCTCTATGGTTTTTGTTTCCATCTTATTGATAGTCCATAGCATTAAAAGCACCAAATAAAACCTGGAAGCCATTGGACACGCCTGCTATGAAACAAACTGGTCTAGACTGATTTGGCCAGCAAGGCGATATCTCCCATAGACACTTTCCCTGAGACTCTTCCTTTTAATATTTTGGGGGAACGAGACACCTGAACAAATGGTGTTTGTACAAATGAGTTCAGGTATGAGCACTCCGAGGCACAGGAAGATTGAAATTAATACCACACTGACTTAGCAGTAGAAAGCTTACTGTATTCCATGCAGCATGCTGGCCCAAATAATTTTAAGTAATTTCATTGATTTTAATAAGTTTAATATTTTAAGTCGTATATTTATTGTCTTAAAATTATTCCACCCAGTTAAAATCAGTTACATTTTCTCAAGGCTCTTGCTTCTCCCACACCCCAATTTAAATCATAATTTCCTAGTTTCCGGGGGTTATTTTACCATATTCCTTTCAAACCCTCTCCCCTGATTTTTAGCCAAGCCTCACAAAGTGAAGTATGCTCTGGGGCTCCTCGCAGTTCAAGGAGCACCTTCATCCTTCCAGTCCTGCCATGTGGAAGTGACTTGCTCAGTCAGTAAAGAGCAGAGTCAAGTGTCAGGTATCAGCCTTGAAAGATGTGTTTTCCTTATTTTCTTCTCTTTTGCTTCTCAGAGAAAATGGAGCAGTGATTTTAAATGTTCTGCTAATGGCATGGCCCACACTCTACTGGTCATTTGTAATAACTAAGCTGGGGGCTAACGGCAAAGGGGCGCGCGCGCGCGCGCGTGTGTGTGTGTGTGTGTGTGTGCGTGTGCGTGTGCGTGTGTGTCCGTGTGGTCACATAGTGTGATTGTCAATGTGGCGTGGAAGACAGGAACGAATGTGAATGTGTGGACACTAAAAATTAACATCAAAGAGAAGGTAGATTCACAGAAAAAGAGTTTATGCTTTTATTAATGTCACATTTTGAGAAAAGTTTTATAGAATAGGAACAGGAGCAGCTTAGGGCTGACTCGTGTCTAAGGAGACAGAGAGGCTCAGGTATGAAGTCTTTCTAGGCACTGGAAGATTTCACTCTAGAAAAGAAGACGTGTAATAGCACTCATTCCTGGCTCTCCTCCTCCCGCCCGACTTCCTTGGTGACCTTCCAAGGAAGGGC